GCGCCCCGGGTAACTTGTGCACGAATACGGAGGGCCATTCATATCCCACCGCTTCAAGAAGCTTTTCTTTCATTCTTCGTGCCGAGACTGTTTTATGGATTTTACGCTGCCCTCTCGGCCGGCTCGTTGCTGTGTTTCGTGTCTCTCGCGGGATTTATCGGACGTCAAATACAATAAACTGCTCCATGAAAAGTGTATAATTAATGCAAAACTTCTGTAAAAATAGCACGCTCTGCCTGGATCTAATACGTGACTGACACGTCTTCTCCAGAGAATATGACAAATCCCGTTTTATCGATGTTTTTGCGCGAATTGTGTGACGATCTTAGCCAACGGAAGTCGTAAATCTCCGCTACGGATTTAATCGGCATCATTAACACTCGAACTCTTAATACCAATTAGTGTATAAACATCCCGTTACATATGGAATTCGTTCAAAGAGTTTCACCGTCTGTTACCTATGAAAAGTTTAGACAACAAGCGGTTAAAAAGCAGAAAAATGAGTGTATTATATTCGATGATTAAGAACAGGAGAAAATAACAAGGGGGTAGTAGGAAAGCTTAATAATTATCAACTTTACTTTTATTCATCCGTGAGGGACGGCGTGAACCATGCGAATTTAGGCATCGTAGGAACCAATTTACCGAAACTACCGCCGCGTTGACGTGTTTACGGGACGCCATCGATAAAACGGACCGGATCAATTCGAGTCCCCCGAATCTGTAATACCCCGACTAATTAGCGAGCGTGCTAATCTCAGAAGCGTAACTAGACGGACAGATTATCCCGAGGGCGATCTTCGGAGTCACATACATGACACATAACTCTCGTCGGCTTGGGGTTCACGTCATACATATATGTGTTCCCAACCCTGGTCAGGGCTTTAAAGCTTTACGATTCCTGTTTCTGTACACCGTTCTGGCGATAACTTATCGAACGAACACGATATATGGCGATGTTTGAAAATTTGTCGTAAAGTGGAGCATCGTAATGGTACATATTTATAAAACAGTTGTAGGAAAGATACGATTTTGTTTAAGGATGTATTTCGCTTAGTCATAGTCGATTACTTCAAGTAATTCCGTCAGATAAAAACGTTTCCGCTCGCACCAGGGACACATCAAGTATTTTGTTGAAGAGCGACAGGTGACAGGGGAGATTACTTTTGCGTTTGTACGACCAAAGATGGACCTGTCGAGCTATTCTAGTAAAGAGCGCGTCGCACATCTCGCGGCGAATATCTTTCTTGTAGGTCAGTGACATATCCTGCCATCGTCAAATTTCTGTTACTCGACAAAAAGATTTTCGACGTTCGTGCTTGGTTTTAACGATATCTACTCCTTCAGCAAGGTTCTCATGTATCTAAACGAAGTTATTAAGTGAGAATGCAAATTTTTCGCAATAAAATTGAATCTTTCGGTACAGTGGTTGCGTACCAAAATGCTACACCGAGAAGAAGTTTGTTCGCTCAGAGGGATCAGCATGTCGGAATTTGCTTCCGATTAAAGTAAGTAGATCGATGGAATAAATTTTTGGTCGGTTCAATCTCTCCTCTGTGTCGCGGCTTAGTCCCGATTCCCAGTCGTGTATGCAAATTCCATTTCAATGAGTCGGACATTCAGAAAGTGTTCTCCAGGGCGACGAGATTTTTTTTCCCCTCACTTTCTACTTTATCTCTCTTTCAAGCCTCTGTATTCAACCACGGGGCAGCCCTACGGTGCACGCGGACTCAGCTTAAATGGCCTAACCAGTTTCACCTAGAAAATGTTTTTCGTGTAACGGCCCGACGGAAGTTGGGCTTCGACGGACTTAATTGGGTTTTGTTCCACGCCCTTCGATCGGTCGTCCGGCTGGGCGCTGCCGGTGCCGCGACTTTTGCCCTCACTCACCCTTTGTGACGAGTGCCGGAGCCAACGTATACCGCGTTTTCCACGCGTTTTCCATCGGGATTTGCCCCGTTGTTCGGCTATCGATCCCCTTTCGTACTCCGCTCCTCCCGACAGAGCCGTTCTTTTTCTGGGAACACGAACAGACTGCCTGGGCACGTTTTCCCTCCGACGGTGTTCGCCGTGCCAAAAATCGACTCGGAGGGAAAGCACTCTCGCGGGACGATTATACGGGGTTTTATTTTTTTAACCCATATTTCCTATGCCGTCGGCGAAACACGCTTAACCCCCCCTCTCCCTTGCTCGACTCGAACCGTGGCGAGGCGAGAAATGGGTATGTAACGGCCCCGAGAATGCCTTCCTCCGTACAAGAACCGGTGAAAATATGGGCGTTGATTCGTATCATCGCCGACCAGGAGCGTAATTGGAAGATATCTCGCCGCGAAATTTAATCGTGCCCCGTGTACCCGTTAACGAATATAACGATGGAATTTCAGTGGAAGCGTAGAGAGAAGAAGTAGCGACTTGTCCATCGCGTGGGAAAATTTTGCATTCGGTAACGAGTTTTTCAATTCGCAACTCGTAACGAAATTGAATTTTTGTAGAGATAAAGTTGCTTTTATCCACGCGACATCGAAAGAAGGGAAGAACGCACCGGTATCGGTGTCTTAAGTTGAAAGGAAATTAGATTGTATCTGTTGTCTACTTTGTTCCACCGGGTCCGACTGTCCTTTTCCCTACCAAGATTTCCTCGACCGTGCGAATATCGATTTCTATTCTATCCAACCGTGTGCCTTCGACGAGGCGCCGATTGCCAGCGACGTTTACCCAGCCGGAGAGAAACGCACGGTGCGTAACGTTAAGCGAGAGAAATGTCGATTTGGACAGAGTCAGTTGTCGGTCCCGCGAGACGATTTTGCGAGACGTATCTTTCGCACCCTTTGAACCGATCCGTCCCTAACGTAGGATCCTTGAACGTACCCTTTCTTCTATCGCCTTTGATCATTCTTGTACGGGTTGTGTAGCTTTTAAGCGAGAACTGTAGAATATAAAAGCTTCTTCGACGCGCCGCGTAAAGTGGTCTTCACCTTTTTTCGATTCGAGCGACTGACTTATCCGACGACAACATATGTCCTCGAGTGCATAGTCAAAGCGAGTTTTTCTCGAAAGAGAAGCGAAAAAGCTACTGTCGTTCGATTCAAAAATTTCTTTCCTGAAAAACGCATACAGGAATCGTGACAGAAAGATGTTACGAATTTTTTTTTCATCGGTAAAAGCTTCTTCGCTCTTTCTGTTTTTTTTTTTTCTTTCTTTCACCGTTTCAATATTTTATTGGCCGCGGTTAAATAGTACTGTATTGTCCATTATTCTCGCGCATCGGTGACTGTTCCAATGGAATAACGTTTAAAAGCGTGGGTAGCGAACCGTCGTGCGTACGTGTATGGGGTCGCTCTTGCACAAATGCATCGAAACCTAGCTGTTCTCTCACCCCGTTCGCTCCCCGATGCACACGACCAATCATGGTCGTAGAAATTAGGGGTTCGACGTACGCCCTGCTACTTTTAATTCGGTAAATTAATGAACAGCGTCAACGTCGCCGACGTAGCGACGACTGCCGCATACAGATAACGGCAGGGAAAATTTGCCGAACAGGTACGTACTATCCGGTGTGTTCTGGGTAACATCGTTATCGTGCCACCGGCAAACTCTCTCCGCCGCCGCGACAAAATCAACGCGGTTTTTCGAGAGAGTATCGTCGTTTGTAAACTGGTTACGGTGTATCGCGTGTAACTTTCTTTTCGAGTATATATTTTTTTCCATTGATTCAACATCAAGTTGCGGATGGCTGTTTTTATTTTTTTATTTTTATCGGCTGCTGTTTATAGTAGTCTATAAGGTAACAATTTTTTTTTTACGCGGTCGACGATCATCATCGCTGTAAAATTTCAACGCGCGTCGAATCGTTATCGGAAATAGAGATATAGATATTTTTTTTTTTCACCACGAGCGTGATATTCGGTAAATTTCCGGCGCGCAGGAATAATTTGAACGCGGCTTGATTGCGCCGGATAACCTTTTTTTTCACCGATGAAAACATCGATGGAAATCATCCGCGCGTAGGGTAGCGTCGATGGTCGGAGGAGGGGGCTTTATTAAATAAACACGTTGTTTTGATGTTACTCGACGCGGGGAGCCATCTTTCCGCGAATATCCGTAAAACTTGATACACGCCCGGCGACGTAACGAGATGATCGTTAGCCACACGTTTATTATGCTCTCTCAGCATGCTCGAGCAAATAAAGCGTGCTGAAATGTTGCTGGCGAGAATGTTCTGTCGGAAATTTCGGTCTAAAACAAACACCGAACAATCCACCGAAAAATAGCAAGGAACAATGAAGTAATTTGAAAACTCCTCGGCGTATCGAAAAGTGTTTCATTTCCTGTTCACAAATTTGGAAACTAACGTGGACAGATAAGCACCGTGACTGATTAAATTCTGTTCACCAATATCACGGCCTTCAAGCGCGTGTATCCTTAATATTCAAGAAAATATCGCACGGCTTGTAACGTTTCACTCCCCCAAAATTGACAATGTAGAACAGTCACTGAATTTCAGAGCCATGTAACGAAGCCACGTCTTTCTTTTTTCCGATTACAGATTGGAGGCGCTGCAGTAGTGTCATCGAGACACCGACGACGACGAGACGGCCGAGGAGGACCGCGGCGTGATCGTGTCGCGGGGGTGGTGGGGTTGAAAATCGGCGCTTGCCCGGTGTCTCCTGTAGAACCTCTCTCTCTCCTTCCCATTCCCTTCGTTTCACCTTCTTTTTCCACGTCCACTGCCCCCTATTCACTACGGCTGTGCTTTGGTCTCTTACTCTTACCCACGTGCGTAAGGGGTTAGCGGTGTGTGCGTGGGGGTGCCGACGCGTAAGCACGCACACGCGGCTCGCAGGGATACCGGTCGGGTGGTATCGGAGAACACAGTAGCAGGGGCGCAGGCCTATTCGAAGCGACTGCGCGTTACGGCCGATCACTGGAGTGGTGGTTTGCTGGAGCGGTGTAGTGGGGGACGGCTGTCACCTGTCGTGGCGCTGTTCGGCCTCAGTGTGACGGCGACCGTTGTGGGTTTTGCGTCGTCCTCGTCGTGACGCGTGACGTACCATCGAGTAAGTGACTTTTGTTGTGTGTACCCGTAGGTAGAGAGAGAGAAACGCCATAGGGATCGCGTGTACGTGTGCGCAGGGTCGACGTTTTGCCTCTCTCTCTCTCTCTGTTTCTCTTCTCGTGTTCGTTCCATTCCCTTCCCTATCCACCCCCTGAAATCTTCTCCGACACACACTTCCCACGGATCCCCGACGACGGTCACCTCGCCGAATTTTCGAAATTCGTGATAGACGCGTGCGAGCACGCCCGCGTTCGGTTCTCGTGAATGTGCGTGGCCAGAAAGCCGGTTGTCCCGGGGGAAACATGCGTGAGCAGAGCCGGTGGACAACGACTGCGACTGCGACACCGACACCGACGAGGAACACGCTGCACGTGACTGCGGCACCCTCGCACCTTTTGCTGCAGTGAGTGGAGAGAGAAACGGAGGGAAGAAGAGAGTGATCAGAAACGCATTTTCCTTTCTCCTTCCGCTGTCATCGTGTTCGATAACGGGGGCTGCTGTGCGTTTCGCGGGGAGATAAAAGAAAAAGGAAAAATAAAATAAAAGAGTGTGCCGGTGATTGGTGCGCGGTATTTTGTGAGTTGCTTGCCCGAGGTTCTTTCGTTCGCCGTGACCCTCGCGGAGGAGACTACGAATCCTGGCACGTTTCCGGTCCCGTTCGTACCATCCGAGAGAAGATGAGGCGTACCATCTTGGAAACGGGGATGCACCCTGTGTTGTCCTGCTGGTGCGTCGTCGCTACGGTCACCCTTGCCCTCGCGGCCTGGCAGGAGAACATTCGGCCGAAGATGTACGTCCAGCTCGGTAAGTGGATAAATATCTTTATCGAGCTTATCGTTGCTCTTTTTCATTCTGGACCACGAGGTCTCTAGTTTGCTTGCGAGCCGCAAACATCGACCGAACGATATATACCTATGTACGTGGAAATTGCTCGCATCTCTCGTTGACGCGAACGAACCGTGTTTATATCGCGTTTCTCGCGTCTCGTGTCCTCGGGCCAAGGTTAATCACGTCGAACGATAACAAAGAGCGTGCACGAAGAAAGAAAGGGGCAAAAAAACTGTTTACTGGTTCGAAGAACGCGGGGCCCGTTTCCGTTCAATGGCTAACCTACCCTCCGAGTAAAACGCTGGGGATCGGAACCTTCGCGTCTTTTTTTTTTACCCCGAGTCTTTATTTCAGAATTCCATACAAGCTTTTTTTGTTCAACAATCGAACGAAAAAGATTTCTCCGACAACAAAAGCTACGGAACAATTACGCTCGAAGGAAAAATGAAAATTCCTTCGACAGGAACAAGCTCTGCTTCCCGGTTTCTGCAAACGGGATAGAACTTTATTTTTCCGTTTTCCCGTGTATCGCGCGTCCGGGTAGTCGAACAACGGTGCGGAACGGAAGTTGCACCGGGTGCAGGGTCATGGACCTTCCCCCACTCGGCATTGTTTCACCCCTAACGCGAGGGGAGTCTATGTATGCAACTCGGTGACTGCGACCCCTAATCAGTGACATAACCGGGGATCCCTCCTACGTGGATACTAGGAAAAGAATATAAAGCTATCGACCACCGTGTCCTGTTTAAATGATTGAAGTGCACGCGATAGAACCGATATTCGTGGAAAAAACAAACACGTCGTCGCCCGCGATTCGCGGCCACCTTATCGATCTCTGCTCGTCCACGATCCATACCGGCAAATATGTACACACATACTACAACCTCCGTTGGATCGTCCACTCTGTCGATCCAGCGTTCGTTTTCTTTTTTTTTTTTTCCTCCAGCCGCGGCTCGACCGAGAGTGATCCGCGGACAAAAAGAATCGCTCGATGGAACGTGAGAGATTAAAGTGTCTGGGTGTAATTAAAAAGCGACGAGTGCATCGAACGGTGGTCGATCGATAATATCTTGGATTCGCGGGAGATACAGTACACCGAAGTAGAATATTCCGCCCTGGGCCGAGACTCGAGCGCGCGTTGTCAAGGCCGAAGCGCGCTTCTCGACGCGGAGCCACGAGAGGAGAGGGATGCGAGAAAAGCGAGTGACGCCAGAGAGTACAAAGCGTCCCACATCCGAGGCACTCGACCTTAACGGCACTCTGCGTGTTCGTGTAGCAATGCTTACGCGACCGACGCCCAACATCCATCATTCTTTCCGCGCTGAAACGCGATGTTTTGCCGAGAAAAAGGACGAAGACGAGGAATTGCCTCGAAGCGGAGTGCATTGGTATCCCGGAGTAAATGCTACTCTATTTACAGACGAGTTTACGATGCTCTTATCCTTTTGTACTTGATGTTCATGCGAGCCGATTAGTTCGCGGATCTGTTTCTATTTACTTTTTTTCCTATTTCGTGCGAATGAACTCTTGACACGAATAATATAAAGGGCGTCTCAGCAAGAACTTGAATTTCAAATTAAATTAATGTTTTTTAATTTATTTAAAATTCAAGTTCTTGCTGAGACACCCTTTAAAACGCACACACGTTCACCAGTCCAGGTCGATCGGTGCTGCTCGCGATAAGCATGAAACGCTGCTAATTTTTCGACAAAACGCTCGGTTTGCGTGCATCGCAATACTTGTCCCAATAAAACGATCGGGCGAAAAAAAGCTCGTGTTAACATTAAAAGCTTTTTCACACCTTAATCAGATCGCAGCAAACAGGTCAGTGACTCGGCAATCAAGTGTTTTTGTTTGGTAGCCGTTGCGTAAACAAGCCCCGTGCCTGTTACACAACTGTTACGTTGCAACATTTTCCGTTTGGGTTAACAAGCAGCTGCGTAAACTAGTCATCGAGATATTAAAGTTTTCTCAACGTATCGGAATAATTGGAGATACAATATAGTATTTAGGAGCAGAGTTGGGCAGAATTTTATTCGAATAATACACAGTGAAAAGCAGCAGTATCTAAGGGTGTCGTTCTGAGCTTTAAACAGTTAGTGAGATTAAAAAATTGTTCGACAAACGTCGATTCATTCATAAAGAAGTATTATTTTATTATAAATAGTTTTTTTTATCTTTTATTCGTTATTCGAAACTTTTTATCGAGATAATTAGTTTGCTCATTTCTGTTTACGAGTGACGATTCTCCACGAGAATAAAGGACGGTTGCAGACAAAAAGAGCAGAATTTACGAAATTATCAAGGAGTGGCTTGAGTTTGGAGAACGATCAGAATTTAGTGTCCTCAGTGTCGGTTCGTGTAACGTGCCACTTGGTTCCGCGGCGTAGTTTGGGAATTCGACGGTGGCGGAAGTATGGCGATAGTAAGCCGGAACGTAAGCTCATTAGGTCGTTATGAATTTCGTCCGTGTATTATTTTCCAATAGTCGACAGGGGGTAGAAAGAGAGAGAGGAGGTAGGGGGTGCGCGACGAGGGACGCGCAGGGTAGGAATTGAAATTACACGAAGCACGTGTTATTAATACGCCACTGGCATTGCGGCAACGGTGCTGTTTTGCTCACTGAGCCAGAATTTCTGCTAATTCTACGACAGGGAAAACCACGCCGCAGAACCGAAATTGTAATCGCCGGGAAATGCATATTGCCCGTTATGGGAGAAGGGTGCAGGCAGAATCATGGGGAGACTAGCTCTTCGCTGACGCAACATTTTCGGTGGCTGCGGCGTTACGATTCGATGGACTATTAATGCTCATTTTTCCGTGGTTTCGCACGAATCGGATACGTTGTTATCGTTAGTCGATAGCCTTTCGATTAACGTCGATTCACGTTCTCCTTGCATAGTCGTGTTTCGACGATGATACCATCGATCGTACGATTTCTTGAGCCCTCTCGGCCGAGTACATTATATTCCTGTGTAACCCGATTGGTAGGAAATAAAAACGGTAGAGATAAGCGCGACTGCAGTTCACCGGAATATACGATTCGGCCCGAGCCTCCCGTATGTACCGTTCGTACCAGTTAAATGGTTAATCCGTAGACTTGCCGTTTCATGGAAAGTTTTTGCCGGTCGTTTTCTCTCTCTGGCGCGCTTTTATCTTCCGGATCGTTGGCCTCGAAACGTAAAAACCATCGACGCGCGGCGATATTTCAACGGCGTGCAGGGGAAAATGGAGCGTCGCGCTGCTACTGCGAATCGCCTGTCCACCGAGTGGCGCTGACGATCGGCCGTGTGTGGTTGGTTCCAACTAAAAAAATCGAAAAAAAAAAAAAGAAGAATAAAAAAAGCACACGTAAAATATCTGCACGTCCTTCGAACGTCGTAAATCAAGGCTGGGCTACTCCATCGGTGGATAGAACGTTTAAAAATCGAAACCGCGAGCGGAGCGTAGTGCGATCACCGCATCGACACGCTGCCTATTACGAATAAAAGGGAGATCACTGAGCTGGAACCAGACGTCGTCCCTTTGCCAGCCGAAACCTGGACGGGTCGATAATCACATCCCAAACCCATCGGGGCGATATTCTCCAAAATTTTGGGTGCTCGAACCCGCGATCGCGACGACGAAAAACTGGCCAGAAAATGTGCAGGACGACGATTCCGTCGACGAGACGAGATCTCGCGATCATTGATACACGAGCGTGTAATAGGTCGTTAACGCATTTAGTGGGAGCCCGTTATTAAAAGACACCGCGAATCCGATCCGTGGTTGATAATAGCATCGTTTGCCAGTTCATCGGTGCATAGCGGCAGTCCAATGGGAGCGCGTCGGATCGGAATATGGGCTATAGCACGCAGTTAATCCATATTACGGTAACTTTATCTGGCAGCTAGGAATACCGCAGCGGACCAATCACAGCTCGGGCCCCCCTCCGACCGATGAGAGGATACGTTATGATTAGTTTCAGCATACCGTGTACGCGACCCGGCACGTATAACCTGACCTCGGTCAAACCACTGGGTAAAATTACGGGGTAATCGTGTCAATTGACTCCAACGCTCGAGAATCGTGAAACGTAATTCCACTTTTGCAGCTTCGATCGGCCGTCGGATCGAGGGGAAAGGATCGGAAGGGAATATATATACATAGGTATACGTGAATTCACGTTTCCCCCCCTTGTGTCTCCGATGTCTTTATGAGAAAGCACAAACGAACACGTATCCGTGTCTTCCGTGTATACACGAAAGACTCTCTGTAGAGGCAGCATGCGAATTCACCACGGATTAATGCCAGACAATTGACGAGGTGTGTCGGAGCTCCGGAGCCTGAAAATGATTGATTCGATGCGAGCGGTGACGACGGAGAAGGTCTCCCCTTTTTAAGATTTCTCTTTGAGGATCGTTCGCGTGTACATACCACCCCCGCATTTTTTGTGAGCCTCGAGTGTGTACTCGACGATAGAATAAGTAGCATACTGGCATTGCCGAGGGGTTCATAAATCTTTTGTCGAGAGAAGACTCCCCCTCTTGCTAGGCTCGATCCAGAAAAAGCAAAAGGTCAAAAGCAGCAGCAACGGTGGCTGGGAGCGGGCAAGCGAGAGGATCGGCGGTTGTCGGTTCCTTCGTTCACGAGTACAAGTAAAAGTGTCCTCTTATCGTGGGTGTTGACTCGACCTCGCGCTGTCTCGGGGAACACAGGGGTTCGAGGCCTCGTAAATACGATTGCCTTCGCGAAACTTGGATGGAGTTTCTTCCGCGTCATTTCTGACGATTCGTCCCGTAATGCGTCTCTCGTCCCTCCACCGACGATGGATAGACGATTAGTTGGCGATTTTATTATCGACTCGAAACTCGGCGGATTCTTTAATATCGGGACGGGGCGCAGCAGCCGCCACCGCCGGCCGAGAAACTTCCTCTCCGAGTACTTACGTCGATTCGTCTCATAACGGCCAGCCCCCTACTTCAAAGCGAACGCAG